ACCTAAGTTAGGGGGGAATGATTGTTGAACAAATCACTGAAGTCACAGTACACAGCAAGAATAAAACCAAATCTAAGACGTTCTGTAACTGGGGTTCAACGTTCAGCGTACAACGTTCAACTGGGGTCTGCTTGGCCGAGACTACATTGACATGTACACTGCCAGACACTGCCCCACAAATGATATCAGCCCGTTAAATGACTTTGATCTTGCTTTGATCCCGAACTTTCTTGCGATCGTTCTGTCGGGTGTCGATTTGTTCAACATGTGTACTGTTACGGTTGCTGTACCAACCGGATGCTTCGGGGAGACGACTGGGAAGGGTCAGGAAGGGTCAGAAAGGCCCCTGCAGCTGAACACCTTGTGAACACCGCTGACAATTTCTGTGGCGAACGGGCAACTTGATGTCCGTGGCCCTTCCATGATAGCTTTCAATGTACAATAATATCCGCACCGACAACCAGAACAGCCGGAATATTGCATCACTGCACTAGCGAGCCACTAGCCAATCCTAGCCAATCATTGGCTCGGCCATGGATACGATGGGGGTCGACATCACCTTCTGCCAATTTCCAAGCGGTCCGGTAAACAACACCGAGCCCCGGTGAGTAACGCCCGTTACGCCCACTTGATATAAAAGCAGGCGGAGGACTCAGTGTCCCTCATTCCCATCTCTGTTCCGACCTGGTGTCTTGTCTGCTTTCTCTTTCACATCCTTTACAACTTTTCAAGTTCACCCCCACCCTTTACCTTCATCCTCACAATGGCCCGCATCCTCTCCGTGTTCTTGGCTCTGTTCATCGCCTCTGCAGCTGTCGCTGGTGAGCCCCGCCTAGCTTCTCCTCCATTCCCGCGATGCTAACGGCGCGCCGTGCCCAGCACCGATTGAGGGACGCCAGATCGGTAGCATCAAGTGCAACATTGACCGTTTCAAGATCGTCACCACTCTCGCGCAGACCGGCACCGCTGTCAAGAAGATTGACACCACGTGCGTCCCCTTCTCCCCTTCGACAATGCAACCGCCCGGATGCTAACGCTTGCGGCCATCTAGCGACCCGGACACCGCGACCGCCGTCCAGGCTGCCCAGGCCGGCCTCAAGAGCGCCGGCGACGGCATCAAGACCATCGCGCTCTCGCTCGTCACCGGCAAGGCCGCACCCGCGGAGGCCCGCGACCAGGTCCAGAAGGGCCTGACCGACGCACAGGACGCGCTGACCGGCATCACCGAGTGAGTACTCCGCACTTCGCCGTGCTCGGGTCTCTGACCCTGCCCCCCTCCTTCCTAGCGAGACTGTCACCGACAGCGTTGCGGCCGCCATGGCGAAGCTCACGGCCTCGATCGAGAACGGTGCCGCCGTTGTTGCCGACTGCAAGTAAACGGCCAGTTGAACCGCGCGGGTTGGGATATGTTAGTAATTGGGTCTATTAACGTAATGGCTTGTAAAGACGAAAGTTGCATAATGCAGAATGCAGAGCTCTGGGCCGTCATCTTTGTGCGAATCTGAGAAAAGCAGAGAATCAAGAGCCAGGAGGCGGCAGTTCCGCACTTGTCCGGTTTGGCTTCTTCAAAGAAGGACCCACTTCGCTCACCCTGTCGCAGATGACTGACACACGGACGGATCAGACAAAAACGGCCGCTGTTTTTGTACTGAAATATTTCTACAATAAGTGTATATAAATGGGTCTGCAATACATGTGAAATAAAAAGCTGCCTGATTCTCAACCTTATATGGTAGAAATCCCATAAGAGATCGGCTGGCCTGATATGTAAAATAAATCAGATGGTCATTTTTGCCCTGGAATATCAAAACAATACAGGATTTTTATACCGGCGGCAGTATCCGGGAGCCTGATTTGACCATCAATTCTGGCAAAAACAGTCGGGTATCCAGCCCAAACAAGGCCTGATACTTGAGATATCAGGCCCACTATCAGGCTGCCCCTGATTCGGCACGTATCGGGCCTTGTTTGGGCCGGATACCTGACTGTTTTTGCCAGAATCTAGTGTCAGATCAGGCTCCCGGATACTGCCGCCGGTATAAAAATCCCTTATTGTTTCGAAATTCCAGTGCAAAAATGGCCATCTGACTTATCATACATATCAGGCCAGCTGATCTCCGTTGGGATTTCTACCATATAAGGTTGAGAATCAGGTTGTTTTATATTTCACACATATTGTAGCCCCATTTATTTAACCTTATTGTAGAAGTATTTTGTTACAAAAACAGCGGCCGTTTTTATCTGATCCGTCCGTGTGTGAGTTACTCAGACTGATTAGTCCCAAATAAAGCAGCCGGACCTGACTCATATAGATACTTCCGAAGTATCATCTTCAACTTCAACAAGTGAGGAACGAGCTTTTTTTTGTTGAAGCGTCTGTCTAGGAGAGACTAATCTTCAACCAGAGTAATCCCCTTCAAACAACCTTCAAACGAGGCCCGAACCGTTGTAGCATGTGCATAGAAGGCAGCCAGTCTTCTTGATGGTAGATGTAAGAATGAGAGTCGCGGCTCCGAGTCGGAGTCGCGAGAGGGTCGAATTGTGCCAGTGCGAGTTTGCCATGTCAGTGAAAGGAGGATCCGAGGAGGCCCGGGGAGAGATGGGGGTTGGGTCGTGCATGACTTGATGAATATGGACCGTTTGAGCGAGGAAGGACGAGTTGAGAAAAAGCCTGAGTGTCAGCCTGTCTTCTTGATAGTAACTGTAAAAATGACTCGGACAGCGCGAATAATTCGCGCTGACTGGCGAGAGTCGGTATGTGTGTGTTTCAAGTTCCTATGAGGAGGATCCAGAGAGGCATGGTCGAGCCATGCATAGCTTTTGATACGTATGGACCGTATGAGCGAGGGCAGACGAGGACGAGCCAAGGACGAGTTGAGGACGAGTGTCCACTGTCGAGAGCAGAGCAGAGCACTAGTAAGTTGAACGGGCACGTGGTGCTCCCGTGCCGCGCTTGTCCCTGTTTGCTCGCTTCTTGTCCGAAACCACGACGCACTACAAACCCATCATCAAAAATGCCGCTCCTCATGCCCGCTATGCCCCCACCGACCTCCCAGACCTCTCAGGATATAGCGCAACCTGGATCTAACGCACAAAACAATGTAGTTGGGCCTTCTGTGCCACCGACCGAGCCTCTGCGGGAACAAGCCTCCACCGTGTCGCGGGTACCGCTGCCGGTCGATGCTATCAGTGCGGAGCTGGCCTCTGAGCTTGCGGCTGCGCTCATCGGGCACGTACTCTTCCTCAAAAATCAAGTTCCCTTGTTCGTGCCACCCCGCGTCATCGGGGCAGCAAACTCACCGTCCTTCCAGCCCCGTGGTCCAACTCTACCGGATACCGAGCGGAAAGGTGCGTCGCCTGATTTCCGTCGCTCCTGATGCTCATATCTTCGTGGCAAGTCCACCCCTAGGGCGCTGAAACTACGCACTGATCTGCTGGCCGCGTTCGATACCTTGAGCTCGCACCTCAACACCACGTTCAGCGCCTTGTCGACTGCATTTGCTCTCACTGCTGGCGCCGATGGGGAATCCCGCAAGCTGACTCGGCGCGCCTATCTTGCTATTCTGGTGGGTCCAAGCATCGGTTCGGCGAAGACCAGGATCATGTTCGCTGTCGACGGGCTAGTGGCTAAAGTCTGGGGCGAACGCGACGATCTATCCGACGATGACGCTAACAGCAGCGAAGACGAGGAGGACGATGGCAGCGAGGACGAGGACCAAGGCTCGGGCCCATCGGATGTCGACTCGTCCACGGGTTCTGACGAAGACGCATCGTCCCCACCGCCTTCCCGCTCACCCTCGCCATCACCCTGCTCCTCTCCCCCGCCAGCACCCCGCGCGCATTCTCCGCCCAACGCGCCCGTCTCGCCACACGCACAGACGCAACAAACCCTGCGCGCCGCGACGCGCCTGCTCTCGCACACCCTCGCGACCGCGCCGCACAGCCTGGCCGCCGAGCTCGGTACCGTACCCCCCTTCTCCCCCACCGCACCGCTGAAATCGATTTGCACAGCGCCCGCGCAGACGCACGTCCTCGTGCGAGCACCCCGGCGCTTCGCGCACCCGGCGTGGATCCCCAGGCAGGGCGTCTCTGCGACGCTCGACGCCGCGCTGCGCGAGTTCCGGGCGGAGGCCGAAGCCGAGGCCGGCGTGCCTGGCGCCAGCTCCGCGCAGGACAAGAGCAAGAGCAAGGCCGCGGCGCGCGCGAAGGCGCGGAAGGTCGAGGGCGTGTGGGTGACATGCGGGAGTCCGGGGGTCGAGTTTGCGGAGGAGGCGGCAGAGGAGGACGAGATGATCTGGTGGAGCTGGGATGGAAAGATCGTGGGGTTTGCGGACTGGTAGTAGGATTTATTGCTTTGAACATCGGAGACTAGAAATGGCAAGAAAAAAATGTAAACAATGCAGCAAGAGATGATTTTTTTATTCTCGTTTTAGTTAAGCAGGTCCCTCACACTCGCAGCTGCAGGCAGAAGGCAGAACCCAGTCACATCTAAAGACATTGTAGTTAGTACATAGTGAGGCAGGTGAAACTTCGCCGAGGTGCCCGACATCTGTCAAAAACAGATAATGACCAATTCAATACTAGCTTGGATAAACAATGGGTAAAGCGCAAAAAGTAAGTAGCCCACCGCGAGGGTCGAACTCGCAGCCTTCAGATACCCGCCTGTGAAACTGTAAGAGTCTGACGCTCTATCCGATTGAGCTAGGCGGGCGTATAGTCACGTGGGATCGTGCGAGGTATCTTCCCTAGTATTTCTGGATTTATTACTTTCAGACTAGAAGCGACGAGAATGCAAGATGGGAGAGACGTTTTTTGTCTTAAGTAAGTCCCCTATCCTCCCGTAGAAGGCACAGAGGTAAACCCAGCCATACAGCGGATGCACATGTAAAGACAGGTGGAACTTCGCCGAGGTGCCCGACATCTGTCAAAACAAAACGAGATAATTACCAATTCAACATCGCTTGGATAAATAGAGGAGGGGGAAAGGCAAAAATGTAACTAGCCCACCGCGAGGGTCGAACTCGCAGCCTTCAGATACCCGCCTGTATTGGACTGTAAGAGTCTGACGCTCTATCCGATTGAGCTAGGCGGGCGTTGTGTCACGTGGGAGCGGCGGTGTGTTGGCCTACTATAGAGCTAGTAGTATGCCACCCTTGCAGTTCCGCGAGTCTGCCACCAATCGCCTTCTTGTCATCTTCTCTGCTTTGTACTCTACAGCACAGGGCATCGCCGTGTCGCGCCTCCTTTGTCCTCTACGTACTCTCAGGCTCATGCCAGTCACAAGAACAGGTGCTTTCACTCTCCCGGCCAGCGAGGCCGTGAAGTACGCGACGCGTCCGTCTCAGTCTGCCAGTGCTAGCAGCAAGTTGGACTCAAGTATGTAGCAGCACTACAAGCAATCAGGGACCTCTATCTACCTCGTTCATAGACCGCGATCTGTACTACCCTACCACGAGCGCGTTGCGTGCTCAGTTCCGGACGCAGGCGGGCAAGGTGCGCGACGCTCTGAGTCGGGACCTTGGCGCTTGCTGACTTCTCTATTGACGCACAGCGCGTAACGACGCACCAGTGGGCAGTATACGACTTCACGCGCACGATACCCGCGGGGAAGGTCGCCACCTACAAGGATGTCTCTCAGGCGGTCGGGGGGTCGCCCCGCTCAGGTGTGTCCTGCATTCCCCGCCCTCAAATCGGCCTCCAAGTCCGAATCGACATGGTTATTGCAGTCGGAAGCGCCCTGCGGGCCAACCCGTTCGCGCCGGTTGTGCCGTGCCACCGGGTTATTGCGTCCAGCCGCTTCGTTGGCGGGTTTTTCGGCGAGTGGGGCAAGGGGCACGGAACGGGGATGCAGTGTGGGCGTAAGTTGGGCCTGTTGGCGAGTGAGGGGGTGGATTTTACGGCGGAGGGCTATCTTAAAGGGGCAGATTTCTTGTGGAGAGGGGAATAGTCTTTGATGCGGAAGAGTGCATACAGCCTCACAGGTGAATTCGGATTACTGATAGAATCTCTTTCATATCCAACTTTCACACAGAAGATGAAAACGACCTCAGTGACAGTCTAAGTGCTTTGGCAATTATCCTTTCCGCCCACCGTTGCACTCCCATCGCTGTACTAGCCAAGCGGTGTAAAACTGATAGGTGAGCGCACATCTTAAAAGTGGACTTGTCTCCACAGTTTTTTTGTCATAATGGAGACACGCACCGACTGAGCCGCCGGTAGGTGAAACACTAGGAAGAACCAAGCCAGAGCGAGTCGATAGAAGAGCCAGAAAGAAATAGAATCGTCGTATATTCTTGAGTCGTGGAAGTAGGGTACAAAGAAAAGGTAAGTAACGTGATTCAGTGATGGTAAGTAAGGCCGTTGTGAGCAGCGGGTTTACACATAAACACCTTTTCACCTTGTCTACATCTTCCGAGTCAGACTCAATCCTGCCAGGAGGCGTGAATCTGTTCAACCCATTCATTGATTACCGTAATCTGCGGGCCAGAAGGACCCATTACCTTGATCCTCTGTGCGATTTGACTTTCTCCTTGAACTCGCCCATCAGCATCGTGATCCAAGAACTTCCCTCCAAACGAGCTTTACTCCAGCCCTCATGTACTTAATTTCCTCAATAATGCCTCCAGTGGACTTTCTTCGGAAGCACTGGAATATCTGCGTTGGCAGTGATTCATCGGTAAGCCTTCCCCGCAATACGATCGGCCGCAAACTGTCCATTTTGATGATCTCATACTTAATTTAGTAAGGGTTACTTCGTGCTTTGACCGCCCCGTTCGTATATTACGGGATCATGGTTTCGGCTCCCTACGACCTCGAATCCAATATGAGCATTCCTAGCGCCCTCGTTGGTTCGGACTTTCGCGTACTTTTCACGCGGCGGCTTTCTTCCGAGAAAAATCTCCAGGCAGCTTCAAGGAAACACTAGTGATAGCCCAGGGCACAGTAGCGTTTCGACAGCGCGTGAAGCACGGTGAACCACTCTAAGCTGCGTCGCCACACCGAACTGCGATTCAGTGGTTGCGTTTCATGGTTTGTCACAGGCGCGAGGTGTCTTTTTGACACGTGGTGTGACGCACCAGAGACATCGCAAGCCTCACCGCCGTATACTGTACCATTTCGACCGGAAGTTCAGTCACGGGTCACAGCGGTCGCTGAACTGAACACTTTTTTTAGTGGTCACAGGTCACCAGAGGGGCTGAACACTTGGCCGTTTAAACAATATAATTGGGCAAAAATCCCCAATTTTTTTCTTAATCGCTGGGCTCCAAATATTGCAGGTCGTCCAGGCTCCTGTCCAATATCTTGCTGATTATTGAAGTTTTGAGCACAAACTCATCCCAAATCCGACATTTTTGGCCCGAAACGGTCGGGATTTAGGCGTTCAACCATGCTGAACACTTGAACTTTTGAACACTAAAAATAGGGGTCACAGGTCCCGCCGCCAGTTGAACACTTGGCAAATGAACACTTATGGTCACTGGTCACACCCGGTGAACACTTGGTCGAAATGGTACAGTATCGTGAGCCAGGAAAGCGAGGAGGGGAAGCCTAACGGAGCGTGGTTCGGGCAGGACACGGAAGATCCATTATTGTCAAGTTGAAAAGCAGCGTAAGTCAGCTCGACCTTCAGAATATCAGAAAATATACCACTGGTGAGCAGTATATATATACATACATACAACTGTTTTGTTGGAGTTCAACTATCGGTGGACCGTCTCGAGGACTTGAAGGCTTAGATGATAGATCGGTATCACTATCAGTTTCGGAAGCGGTAGATCAGACTCTGTAAAGCGCGACTTTGTTGGGATTCCTGAATCAATTAGACCAACAGTAACGGAAAATTTGAAGGACCATGGTTGAATCAATTTGCATTGAGAACTCCCAAATCTGAGTGTTCTTCCTTGATTGCATACATAGGCTCTGAGGCGCACGATCATGGGCTTTGCACAAGTGATGCAAATGGTAATTGCCTTCAAATTTTACGGTCGGCTTCTGTGGAAAAAGGCAAGTAAGAAGCAAGATAAAACCCTGAAGATAAACGTATCGCAGGTTCATATATGTCTGGATTCACCCAGCTGCTCCTCCTCCTCTTTGAAGACGATCCACACAACTTGGCACGGCTCGCGGTTTCCAATATATTGGAGCAAGCTGTTACCAGGCGCAGCGCCTCGTCACGATCATTGTAGAAAAAACATTGCTGTTTCCTCAGTCTGAAGCTAAAGGATGCCGACAACAGGTTCAGTTGGTTCCACTTCAAGTTGGTTCCACCAAAAGTCCGATCTCAGGCTCATCCATATTTGCGCTTGCTTTGTCAGCCGATTTCGCGGCCAGTCGTTTTACACTGAGCATGAACCCTTAGCAGAGTTACGACGCCCGTCTAGGTTCAGAATAACAAGGCCGTCAAGCCGATTCAATAGGTCGAGGCAGTGGGAGGATTCAAAGAGAGAAAGAGCGTAGGTGACAAGTCAAAACAAACCCACTTTGTTTATGACCAGCGACCACAGGGTATTCATTACCCTTCCCCCCATGGCCGCCCCTCTACGCCGCTCTAGCCGCAGGAAAAGCGGCTCCTCCGGGTCGGAATACCGCCAAGACGAATCGTCGCACCATGAAGATATGCCACCCGAGGAGGAACCAGAGGAGAAGGTGGAGATCACAACCACCCGCCATGGACGGCGCGTCCTGAAACGTTCGTATGCCGAGAGCGGGGACGATGCCGCGGGGCCAGTGGGGCTTTTCGACGACGATGCCGGGCCAGTGGACAAGCGCAGCAGTTCTGCCTCCTCGCAGGGCCCAAGACTCTTGCGCCGTCGCAATGTCAACAATCTCGAGGGCTTCATCGCCAGCGACGACGACAAGCCACGCTATGAGATGCGCAGTCGTGTCAAGAAGAAGCGGCCCCAGCCGAACGGCTCCAGCGTCCCCCCAAGTTCGAAGCGCAGTGGCCCTTCGTCCCGTGCCCAGCGCCTAAATGCTCGTCGCGCGCGCCAGGACGATCACGAGGACGTCTACTCCCCAGGAACGCAACATACCTCTTCCCCCGACACCCACCCCGACTCGGATGTCGATGCCGAGGGCGAACTCGAGCACGACATCGAAGAGGAGCGGGAAGAGGAGGAGGAGGAGGAGGACAGCCGCCCTTATGCTCTGCGCCAGCGCCAGAAGATAAACTACGCGATCCCCCCGCCCCTCGAGGAGATGGTACGTCCTCCGCAGCCTGCGCGCCCCGCGCCCTCCCGCAAACGCACCCGCGGTCCCGGCTGGAGCGCGAGCGGCGCCGAGCTCGGCCGCTGGATGGGCATGGGCGGGCCCAACGACGACTCGGACTCGGATAATCCCGCTAATGCACCCCGCACCCCGCGCAAGCCCGTCGCGATGGGGTTTGCGTCCACGCCGTCTAACATGGGCAACCTCGGCCTGGGAAAGGTCGGCGATGCCGCTCTTGCAGATGCAGACCCGCTCGGCGTCAATGCGAATGTTACCTTTGACGAGGTCGGCGGCCTCGACGACCGTATGTCTACTCGCGAAAGATGATTGAACGTGTTCTGACTTCATTTAGACATCCATGCGCTCAAGGAGATGACTCTCCTCCCTCTGCTGTACCCCGAGGTGTTTCAGCAGTTTCGGGTCACCCCACCGCGCGGCGTCCTCTTCCACGGCCCGCCAGGAACAGGGAAGACTCTCCTTGCGCGCGCCCTCGCTGCCTCCTGCCGCACGAACGGCCGCCAAATCAGTATGTCGTCGACTTTTTTTTCCGCTACCATATTGTACTCATTGTCGCGTAGCATTTTTCATGCGTAAGGGCGCTGACATCCTCTCTAAGTGGGTCGGCGAGGCAGAGCGCCAGCTGCGCCTCCTCTTCGACGAGGCGCGCGCGCATCAACCAAGCATCATCTTCTTCGACGAGATCGATGGACTTGCGCCCGTGCGTTCATCGAAGCAGGATCAGATCCACGCGTCAATCGTCGCAACGCTCCTTGCGCTCATGGATGGCATGGACGGCCGCGGCTCCGTTGTCGTCATCGGCGCGACGAATCGTCCCGACGCGCTCGACCCCGCGCTGCGCCGGCCCGGGCGCTTCGACCGTGAGTTC